ACATGCTGGAGGGTAATCATGCACCTTGTATGCATATGAGTGTGTGTACATGCTGGAGGGTAATCATGCACCTTGTATGCCTGTGAGTGTGTGTACATGCTGGAGGGTAATCATGCATCTTGTATGCCTGTGAAGGTCAGAGACTGGTGTCAAGCATCTTTCTTGTTTGCACTCCACCTTATTTTGGGGGGACAGGGTCTCACACTGAAATGATAGCTCATCTATTAGGCTGGACTGGATGGCCAGTGAGCCTCAGGGATCAGCCTGCCTCCACTTCCCACTGCCAAGGCTATGGACACATTCCACTGCACCCAGCTTTTTATTGGGGCTATTGGGGGACCTGAGTTTAGGTCTTCATGTTTTATATGCCAGTCACTTTACCAGCTAAGCCATCTCCCCAGCCCTGTACTTCATTTTTCAAAGCCACCCTAATTCTGCAAAAGGAAGCTTGCATATGCTAATGAGGTGTGGATGCCAGTTTTAGCTAGGCTACAGGCTGATGTCAAAGATGACTCAGAGGCACATGGGATAATTCATAAACTATATTGGTGCTTGTTCCCAGGACTTATAAGAGACTTACTGCATCTTCCGTGTGGTTGAAGAGGTTTTATTGCTGTAGTTTGTAAAACATTATTGTTCATGCCTCAGACTTGTTCTACTTCCCATCAGTGAGCTGTCAATCAAGCCAGGAGCCCACCATGATAGAGTGCAGCTGCCCACCATTTACCATATTTTCTGATAAAAGAAAATCTGGAGTTCACATCACATCTTACAGTGTGAATATGCTCACTACTCTCATCTGAATCGTTTCCAGAGCTTTGGGGTCGATCCCATCAAGAACTATGGCTTCAGGGGCTAGAGAAAGTTGAGCAGTTAAGCAAGCTCATTGCTGTTCCAGAGAACCTGAGTTCAGTTCCTAGCACCCACATCAGGTAGCTCTCAACTGCCTAAAACTGCAGCTCTGGGGAAATCCAATGCCCTCTTCTGGCCTCCACAGACACCCATGTGCATCACACACACACACACACACACACACACACACACACACACACACGTTTAAAAAATGAAAATGAAAGAGAAATGCACACCCTGGTGCCCTGACTCAGTGAATCAAATCTGGTTTTGAAAAGGGAGCCGAGTTTATTGGTGCGGTGGTGACTGTGTGGCCCGCTGTTCTCGCCCACTTTGATTTTGTGCAAACAGTGTTCACTCAGTAGATTTCATCCTCCCCTTGTGTGTCCATGTCCAAGCCACACTTCATCTGCTAAAGCAGGGAGTGGTTCTCCATTGTGTGCTCGTCCAGCATGTGACTACACTGTGCGTACACAGCCCCCTCCCCGGGGCTTCTTCTCTTTGGGATCTTATTTTTAAAAGCAGTCAACTTGAGCTTGTGTCTTCCCACGCATCTCTTCTGAATGAACACATCTTTCCCATGTCAAGAAAGCAGTTCCTGTGGGGAAGACTCATTGATCCTTCAGTGGCTTGACCACCCACTTGGCACAGTACCCCTCTGTAAGATTTGAGATGTATGGGAGAAGATGCCATGGAACAGGAAAAGACATGTTAGGAAAATACTAGAATTTTTCAAATTTTACTAGTGAGTAGATGAGTGAGATGGAACTCAGTTTTATAAACCATCGTAACCAAGCTTCCTATCACTCCTCATAAGTCTTATTACCATCATGCATCCCAGTAAGATGGATGTGAAGGGCCCTTCATCCCTGTGCCCTGAATCCCTAGAACCTCCGGTCCCAGGCTAATTGTGAGAGCATGTCAGACCAACAAGACTGAGATCTTTTTATAAAACAGCTGCCAAGTGCCCTTCAGAAGAGTCAGAGCCAAGGAAGATAGTGAAATTGCCAGAGATTGGAGGAGACTAAGGAGACGGGATGAATAAATGTGTGGGATCCTGGATGGGAGCCTGGAACAGAAGAGGGTGGAAACGGAAAAACTGATGCAATCCAAACAGCCCCTGGTCCAGTTCGCAGTATTATGCCAGCGTCCGTTCCCTGGCTTTGATAACAGTGCTGTGATAATTCCTGAAGCTACTTCAAAGTGGCTGGGGGAGGCATGCTCGAGAGCAAGCTGTACTTCTTTGTACCTTCTGTGTAAATCTAACACTATTTCTGAATTATTTTTTCTTTAGAGATTGGAGTTGTGGGCGAAGTTGGGAAAGGGAATACAGAGGAGCAAAAAGCCTACAGCCTGTGCTTAGGATATCCTAACTCTCCTCACACACTCTCTGTTTGCTTCTCAGCCAAAATTATGTATTTTGGAAACTATTTTATATAACACTTCTCTATTAGAACTGGTTTTGGTTTTGTTTTGTTTTGTTTTTTGCAATAACCTCTTGAAGTAAGACACTCCTCCCATTTTGTAGATGGGGCAAATTCAAAGACATGAATCGCCTAGGTCCAGGGCTGAGAGGGAGAAAGACTTCAGACTCTAACTGCCGGGTTCCCAAGCCTTGTGGCCATCCTTTAGACACTGAGGGCCCTGCGTCCTAAGGATCTTGTATCCAGTGTGCTGATTTAATCTTTGCAGCTGCCGGCCTTCTCCAGCCGTAGCTTGGGCTCCAGTCAAGAGTGCGCTAGAGAAGGCGGCAATCAGAACAAAGTCAAGTCCATGGCCAACCAGCTGCTAGCCAAGTTTGAGGAGAACACACGGAACTCTGCAGCCCTGAAACAGGTAAGGCTATCATATGGTCCCTGGACCTACTCCACCAGTGGCAGAACCCTGCTGGGCTAAAGTTCGCCACCTTGGTCTGACCAAAAAAAAAAAAAAAAACCTTCAGCCTCCTGGTTATACAATAGCAGACTTTTCCATGGGGTCAGATAGTAACTCATTTCTACTTTGGAGTCATACTGTCCTGTTAGAACATTTAGGCCTCCATACTGGATCCCTCAACAAATAAGGGTGATAGCATTCCAGTAAAAACCTGTTTACAGAAACAGGCCCCTGGATTAGGCCTGTGAGTCACGGTTTGCTGGTGTCCATCTTACAGTAATTAAATCCATTTCCTAATTTGGCTTTGCACTCAAATCATGATTTGTAGCCAGTCTGAGATGGGACAACTCAAGTTGAGAGGCTGTGTGGGAGAATCCTGCCCACGTCCATGGTGAGATGATGCATCCTGACCAGAGGTGCTGACTCAGATAACTGCAAGGTCTTAACCCACTTCCTCGGTGTTCCCTGGTGCCTCTCCTCTCCCCACACCAGACAGGCCCTGCAGGATGCCTGTGTTTGACCAGGGCAGGCTGGCTGCTGTGGTTCAGGCTGCAGAGTCCTCTGCCCCACAGAGTCTGTGATCTTAGCTTGGTTCCTCTTCACTGCATTTGGATGGATGTTGTCCTACTATGATACGTTGTCATATCACAAAACTCTGGGGTCAGATTCCCCTTGTCTATGGTGGACGCTGGTCCCATGACAAAATTGAGCTCATTTGGCAGGGGTGTGCGGGGGAGGTGGGAGTGGCCAGTCTCTACCCTGGTTAACTTTAGAGGCAAACATGAAAGGCTCCTTGGTCTTGGGGTTAGCCACACCTCTTCTGAATAACTAACCTTCCCTAGGAAGTGGATTTTTTTTTTACAAAAGGGCAATTTTCTTGAGTCCTGTCTTTGTCTAAACAGTTTCCACAGTCCTTTCTGAACACCTGGCTCTGTTCATTTGGCCTGGACATCTCTGTCCTGGAGTGGGCAAGAAGGTCTCTGTTTCCAGAAGGACTGTGCTGGCCACCCTAGCCTGGTGTAGGCTGGCACTGATGGCCCAGAGCCCTGTGTTTAAGCCAAAAGCAAGGCCTGTGGGATTCACACGTTGTCCCAGAGCAGACTTGTCCATCCACATGCTTGTAGAGCCAGGGATCCAGTTTCCAAGCCAGCCAGCCTTGCAGGAACCTAGCCAACACCATCTCTGCTCCTCCACACGGTGGCGTCTTCTAGTCCTTGCTGCGCCTCTGCCCACTCCACATGCCTTTCTCACTGGCCTTTTCTTTCCTGTCTCCTGGGGCTGCTTCTCTGGACTGCCTTTCTCCTCCCAGGACTGCCGCCGGCTCTCAGGCACAGGTAAGCCTGTCTTGTGCTCTGCCTCTCGCCCTCCTGGTACCTCTCGCTGCCCCAAGCTGGAGGAGTCAACTCCCAAGCTTCCACCTCCTCTGAAAAGGCAGGTAGGGCTCTTTCCAGTGGATACTATTTGGTAAAGCCAGAGGGAGGGGACTTTGAACCAAAGGGTGGGATCCATGGCTCCCTCCGGCCTCGATATGTGACTGATTGTAGAGTCCCTATGCATGCGGACACAGTTCAAGGTCACTATCCTTATGGATAAGAACGACTACATAGACAGCACCTGAAGTCCATGCCACTGGTCCCTCAGCCCATCACAGGTGTTACCCAGCCAACCATGCATACACTTGATGCTGTTGCTTGAAGGAAAAGTAAACAACTCCATGTGGCCACTTTGGAGAATTCCCATGCTATGCTTTATAGAGGGGCTAGTGAATAAGCTGATTTCCAAGTTATTGAAAGAAGCAATGGTAGAATGAACGGGCTCAGGGGTTGGAGTGGGGGCTTGTGACTACACCCACTGAGAGAGTGAGGCTGAGGCATGGTAAAGGCCTTTCCAGATGTCTGACCAGCCAGAGCCTGCATGGTGAGACTGTGGCTTATCCCATCCCTGGCTTGGAATCTGGACAGAGTCAGGATGATGAGTGTCCACAAATTCCAGGGTCATCTGGTCAGCACTGGGTGTTGTATGTTGGGTACCAGAGGTGGACAGCAGTAGGTGCAGGTCTGATGCAGCAACTGTGTGACCGTGTGCATACCAGTCTCACAAGGAGGTGTTTAAGGTATTCCCGTGTCTCCTGCATACTCAGGTCAATCACATTCCCTAATGGGTCAGACCCTCTTTAAGGTGTCCTAGGCAGTCTCAGAACAGAGATATGCACAGGGACCAGGGTTGTAGAGGTTTGACTGGAGGGCTCTTAGGCGAGCCAGGACTGAGTACTCCGGATACCAATACAGGTGCAGAAGTTCCTTCTCCGCCCAGCCTAGTCTGTGACCTTTCTCACGTGGCACCTGCTGCTGTGCCCTCTATCTCCAGTCCTCGTGGGGGTGGGGCCTGTAAAGGGAGAGCAGCTGACTTCTCCCTCTCTCCCAGTTCTCCTCCGTGGTGGCGACAGGACAGGTACTCAGAGAACTCAATCAAGTACCTGCTAGTGGCGAGTGCCCAAGCAGACCCTGGAGAGCCAGGGCCAAGTCAGACCTGCAACTGGGCGGGGCTGAAAATCTCGCCACGCTGCCTCCCACCTGCCACGGGGCCCTGGCCCTGTCCGGGGTGCTGCGGCGACTGCAGGAAGTAGAAGAAAAGGTCCTTCAGGTGACCGCCCTCCTGCCTACCGTGTCCATGTCCTGTCCTCCCTGCTCCTCATCCGCCCAGAGCAGGTCCCTTTTCCTCTGGTTCCCTCCCTATCTCCTGTCTGCTGTGTGTGTGTGAGGAGACAAACCCGGCTGACTCCTTCCCCTCTCTCTTGAGGTGACCCTCACGGCCACTGTCACCCTCTTTCTCCTCTCTCACCTTGACTGCAGAAGAGGGCCCAGAACTTGGCTAACAGGGAATTTCACAAAAAGAACATTAAAGAGAAGGCAGCTCACCTGGCCTCCATGTTTGGACACGGGGATTTACCACAGGTAAACCAGGGCCTTTCGGAGTCTCCAGGAACCAGGGCTGCATGTCTAGTCAGGTAGCCATGAACCAGCCCCGGAAGCCCAGTTCTCTCGCCTTCCTTTTCTATAGTACAAGAAGCAATTCACTTTTTACGCCATTGGTAAATTTGGGCTTGCGTCTAAGAGACCCAGATGCATAGTTTTGAGAGAGTAGACACATGATGACAGGGGAAACGGAGGCGGGAAAGTAAGCTCAAGTGGAAAGGACCCCCCACTCAGCAAAAACAGGGGCTTGAAGACCCTAGCTGGGCTGAGTGTGGTGGCTCAAGCCTTTAATTCCAGCATAGCAGAGGCAGAGGTAGGCGGATCCTGTGAGCTTGAGGCCAGTCTGGTCTATATAGTGAGTTCCAGGGCAGCCAGGGCTACACGCTGAAACCCTGAGTTCATACAAAGTAACATTAAATTAAATGAAACAACCCAATCAAGGGTGACTTTGAGATGTGATGCTGCCATCCACAAATGTGACTGGTCACATTTACAGTTATCCTGGGGTGCATGTGGACTGTAGACCGTAGCTTGGATACATGTATGCTTAGTTTCTAAATAGACTTGGAGCTTCCTGGGAAGGAAACAAAGGACTGATGGTCCACCGCAAGGCTCTGGGTGCCTTAAAGGTGAAAGCAAGCCAATTGCTTGTGCTGTTACAGCCCATTGCCCTCACCACCACCCCCGGGCAAGGAGATATGCCTCGACTTCAGCTCTGTCTCTCAAAGCAGCCATGCTAAGCTAATGCACGAAACGTTGCCTTATCATGGGAAGTAGAGCTTCCTCCAGACCACCTACATACTCAGAAACTGGTAGAAAAAGGAGAGTTGGTCTTCGCGGAGCAGGAACTGAGAGTAATAATGAAGTAATAGTGAAGGCCATGAGGTGGGGGTGGGGGTACACTTGTGAAATCCTCCTCCTTCAGCAAGCTGTCTCTAGAACACATTTCAGCCACCTTCGCTCAGCCTCCTCCTGTGTCTCCAGCTGTCAGTGGAGTCATGCACAGAGGAGGGGTATTCTGCATTGAGTTCATTGCCAGAGTTTTAGCAGCCTCCAGGAGGCTAGCGCAAGTGTGTGCCGACAGCTGTGGAAACCCCAGCTGTGGCGGGCTGCCCCCATTGGCTCAGAGCTCTCCCCTCTGAGACTGCAGCTGCTCCCTCACACCAAACTCTTCTATAAGGGTGTCCTATGAGCACTGCAGTCTGAGGCAGCCCCAGGCAGGAGCAGAATGGGTATTTCAGGGAGCTGGAACTGTAGCAGAATGCAGCGCAGCCAGGAGCCACGTAATCCCACTTGGCTCCAAAGACACACGTCTGTGTCATCCTGAGAGACGGGCCTCAGTGTCTGTTCCTCCGTGGGTATAATAAAGGCATGATCGCCACACCTGTCACAGCTGTAATCCTGCTTTCTTTCCTGTCTCTGTTCCATGCAGGATAAACTCCTGTCTAAACGTCTGCCTCACACTCATCCTCCATCTCCTCCCTCTTGCCTTCCGTCTCCTGATCCAGCTGCTCCTTCCTCTCCACCAGCTGCCGACTCTGTTTCTCCTGCCAGAAAGGTAGTCGTTCCTGAATCATTGCCTCCTCCACCCGCTGCATGTTCTGGGATGTTCTCAGGCTCCATTTGGCCGGCACAGCCAAACATCTGGAGCCAGGCTTGGCTGGGATGAAAGTCTGTTAGATATTGTACAACAGTCCTAGATCTGGTTTGGGGTTTGTGTTAGTGCATGCATCTAGCAGAACAGCTCAAGCCTGCGCTGCCAGCATCACTCACACAGAAAGCATTCATCAGGGACCCGGATGCTGAGCCCTGCCCAGATACTGAGAAAATAAAAGGGAAGCATTGGACCCCTTATTGCAATGTGGATGGAAACACCACCCCATCATAAGAGTAGTCACACATTTAATATGTGGAGTTGCTGAAATTTGGCGTGCCTGACCTAAGCAAATGGCAATTTCACACAGTACACTTAATACAGTACTATTCTGAATTTTGTGAGATGTATAATGGGCAAGATTGTAAGAACAGAAAGAAGCCTGGAGATGGTTCAGAGGCAGTGATAGGAGACCTGTGTGGAAGATTCCACAGGAACAGTTTTCTAGACAGAGAGCTAGGGCGCGGTAGGAAGTGATCAACGTGTGTAAAGGTAGGCAGACGGGACTAACATGAAACGAGAGGACAGAGTGACTGGTGTCACGTGGCTTTGGGATGACTGACGGTGTGTGAGGATATACAGAGAGTGAGAAAGCACACAGCGTGGTTGGCATGTTAAGGAGCTTCATCCTCACTGGGCTACCCTGTGTTCTTGAAGGATGATTTAGGTGGCAGTGCAGAAGTCAGCTTGGAGGAAGAGAGGCAAGAAATGAGCTGTGACGCAGTGGATAGTGAAGGGTTCCGTGGACGAGAACTAGTTTGCATCTGCGGCACATTTTTAACCTCCAGGATGAGTGAGTCCCCAGCCAAACTGTGCTCTGCGGAACAATCTGTTGGCCAGGCTCCTGCAGAGGTCAGTGAGGAGGGCTGAGTGTCCCGTCTGAAGGACTCCTGTTTTGCTTCTCTGTTATTGAGCTGGTGCACACCCAGCTTCATGCTGTTGTCTTAGCAAAAAGTTCCAAGTTGCCCCCTGTTTTGTAACTGGGAGTTCTATTCCCATTATACATAATACATACATAATATATGATAATCACTATGGAAGATTTGAAGCATTAGTAGAATCCTGGGGTGCTGATATCAAGGGGCACTATAAAGTGGGATGAGCAAGAAAAGGGCCATCCTGTGACTGTGAGAACTGAACAGGGGCAGAGTCAATAAGAAGACAAAGGTTCAAGAAGAATCTTGGGGTCCATAGCTCTCAATCTGAGGTTCAGTGGTCTCTCTGAACCAGATAGATGGAGGAGCCCTGGCAGAGGCACCAGCCCATAAGTAGTGTCATACCTGGGGATAGGCTGAAGGGGGTTGGCTTGGAGATGGCCCTGCCTCTGTAGCTTTGTTCCTTGTTGCTGTGGGCTTGATACTGTGTGGGCAGAGCCTTTCTGTCCCCCAGGCCAACCTCGATCATGAGATGGTTGTATAATTGGGACATTTTAACAGCTTCCAGCTTGTTAGTTATGGGCCAATGTGTCTTTCAAATGTGGCTGGGATAATCTGGAAGCTCTTAGAAGCCACCGTGGCATGGTGGGTAAGTCTGTGAATCTCTCTATGCTTCAGTTTTCCCTCAGTGCCCACACTCAAAGACCCCTGCCATTCTCACTATGGGTTCATGGCAGGCAGTTGGGGATGGAGTTGTGAGAGTTTGGGTGCAAGCCTCTTGGATAGTCTTCCCAGCCTTGCACCTACCCAACCTTTCCCTCCCTCCCAACTCCTCGTCCTTAAGTCAGCACCAGGCTTTGCATGTGCAAAGTCCACCATCATCCTTACCTCCCCAAGGGTGGACCTGGGCTGCCCCTTACAGCTGATGCAGACTTGTTGATAGATAGTTTCATTCCGTCCTGATGGAGCTCAGGTCATCCCTTCCAAGAAGAAAACCTGGAGCTGGATGCTTCTTCCCATCAGATGAAGAAGTCCTCTGATTGCCCAGTATGAGGCTGCTACAATTCACAGAAGCGCAAGGAAGAAAAACATCTGGCAGTTAGCCTTAGCTTCCTATCAGGTAGCATGCTCTGATCCTGCCTTGGGGTCTTGGACCCCAACTCTGAGAGTCCAGGATTGGTCACTTTGTGAGGGGAGTAGATTTGGCCAAACTTACTCTGAGGGTCACATATTACTGACAAGGATGCAAACATGAGTCACCAACCCCAAGAGATGTGGCCAGGGCTCTGCTTTCTGTCTGTGTCTACCTTCTCAAATGATGCTTTGAAGTTCAGATGGGTCCTATGGGATTTTGTCTGAATAATCAGTCTTGAGGCCCTCTTTTGTACCGCCCAGCATCAAAACCTTGGACTATGGGTTCCATGTCCAATCTTATGACTAGCTCCATTTTCTTATTTGTCTCATCAAATCCCTGTCACCCATTCTTTTTTTTTTTTTTCTTTGAAAAGGGGAAGCCATGTCAATTTGGTCCACAGTTTGGCTGCTGACATTTGCCAAGGTTGTTGAGCTCTTACAAGAACAAGATGGCGGTGAATGATTGCACAGCTGGACCAAGGATTGCTTTGCTCTGGCTTATCCAGCTGACAGAGCCTGCAGAGCAAGGAGTCCCGCAAGAGGAGCTGCCTCTACCCCTTGGGGTGTTTTTGTTAAGACCAGACTTGCAGGATTTACTCTGGGATTTATGTATTAGAAGAAGATACCATCAGTGGGCATGTTTTGGCTGGGCAACCCGTCTTGTATTATCCCTTGCTAGGATAGATCTCAAGGTGCCCTCCATCCTTAGCATCTTCCTTCTGTCCCAGGATAGGGCTAGGCAGCATGGGAAGGTCTCCAGTGCACATCCCAGTCTAGGGGTATTTGAATACACCAGTGCTGGTGTGTATTAGAGGAGTGGGATGTTGTTAAGTAGAAGAATCTGAGCGTAGAACCAGACTTGAATTTGAAGCACCACTCACTCACTGTGTGTCTTTGGACAATGCAGTGGGCCTCTCTGAGCCTTAGTTTCTTAGCCTATAAGCTGGAAATGTATCAGCTACTCCTTGGGGTGATTAGAACATTGCAGTGATCCAACATATGCAAAATGCCTGAAATACTGAGTAAATGTTCCTTTTCCCAATAGAAGAAACATCTAGAAGAAAGCTCATTTACCTAAAACACATATCTCTAAAATAGCAATCCTTTTAAGGAAATGCTTTAAAGGGTCTCCATTTTCTACCATAGTCACTTAAGAACAAACATCATCCTGGCTAATTTAGAATCCAAAGGGATTTCAGACCCAGCAGGTTAAATGCATATGATCAACTTTGCATGCCTGTCACCATAGGTAAAGTTGGGCAGATTAAGACTCTCCCATGGGAGCTCATAGCCCTCAAGGCTTGCCTCATCTCAGCTTGAGCATGTCATTTCCAATATCCTTAAAGAACACAGTGTTGGTCCCTTGTTCTCCCCTTGCCTTGGGCAGAGATGAGGAACCAGATCCAAAGGCCTGTTCTCTGTGGTTTTCTTATCTAGGGGCTCCTCAGTGGGAGATGTCCTTGACCCCCAAGACCCAAAAGACCATTCTGGCTCTCCTGACTGAATCTTCCCCTTCCCACAAACCCTTAGCTCCAAATCCCTGGAAGCTTGATTCTTGCTCCCTGACTGTCTTGTGTGGGCTGACTTGATGTTCAGAACATGCTAGCTGGTCACAGATGACTCAACTCTGCAGAATAGCACTGCCTGGATACTTGCTGTGTGAACTGAGTTCTGGACCCAAGGTGGAGAAGTCCTACTGTTTTGAGTCAAGGGGCCCAGCAACCTGCATCCTCCTCCATTGAGAGCATCATATCTGCTCTGCCAGCGGTAGAGGGATGACTAACCGTCAGGACCACTGACATCAGGGATGCAGACTTGGGGAGTAGCTGAACCAGGCCAGTCCAGTGTGAGAAAGACTCCCACATCTAGAGACCTGAGCTGGAGGGGGTCACAAGCTGTCTCTTGGTAGAAGGCTAGCCACCCCTGCAGCCTTTGGCATTGATGCTTGTGACAATATCTGTGTTACTATGCTTGAATCAAGAGTGTCTCAGGGAAGACAAAGCCACACCACTGTTTGTACAGAAAAGAGAGAGTCTAAAAACCAGAACTTAAAACGATATGCATGATAGTACCCTAGTCTCAAAGGCTACTTGCTGAGGACCTCTGGGTGCCCAGCACTATGTTAGGCTACACCCAAGGTCTTTTGTTTTTATTATATTAGTTGTCTGTGTATGTCTACATGAACATATGCTGTGTGGGGTACCTGAAGAAAGAGGCATGGACCTCCTGGAGCTGAAGTCACAGATGGTTGTGAGTCACCTGACGTGGGTGCTGGGAACTGAATTCGGGTCTTCTGAAAGACTAAGATGCACGTAACCTCTAAGTCACCTCTCCAGCCCCTACCCAGGGTCTTCTAGGGTGCTTCCACAACCCTGCAAACTCGGCAGGAGAGAAACCAAGGTTCACAGCAGAGAAATAATATATGTGAGGTTAGTCAAATGTCATGTGAGATGATGGCCTCCCCCAAATAACCAACCATTCTATAACTCATTCTAAGGAAGTCACTGAAAAATAGTTTGAATTCAAAAGGAACAGCAAATAGTGAAAAAACATCCAAATATAATTCTTGAAAATTATAAGACTATAAGTTATGTAAGAACTGTAAAACCAGTCCCAGGGGATTCTAAAATTGCTAATTCTTAATTTTTTTATTTTTATTTTTATTTTTTTTATTTATTTATTTTTTTTTTGGTTAACTCATCAGATTTGTCCAGTTTCACGTTTAAATAGATTCTTCCCCGGCAGATCGCCAGTGTTCCCCTCATCCAGCCCCACCCCCACAAACACATGTGGCTTGCCATTCAACGTATGTGAATCTTCTTGCTGAGAATGTGTAGCTCGTATGCTGTAGTCACGGCAGGATGAACTTTCTCCAGGTCTCTTTGTGAGCTATGCCTTTCATCGTTTCTCAGAAGACAGGCCACCTGGTAACTCTCCAGCTGGTGCAAACATGGTCCCCAGGCAGAGACTGGGTTATAGCCTCCCTTTCACAGAGCCAAGAGAGACGTCCTCCTGTCAAGAAATAGAATGAGCTGGATAGATGGCTCAGTTAAGAGCACTTATTGTTCTTGCAGAGGGCCTGGGTTCAGTTCTCAACACCCTCACATCTGTAACTCCAATTCCAGGGGATCTGATGCCCTCTTCTGGCCCCTGAGGGTACCAGACATGTACATGGTACATGTACATCCATGCAGGCAAACCCTCACACACATATAATACAATAAATAAATCTAAAATTATCTTTTAGAAGGAAGATGACTCCCAGTCCTCAGAGGGATGCTCACTTTCACCCTGGTCTTGAGTAGCCTCAAGAGCCCTCTCATCCCTTGGGGCAAGTTTCCATCCTTATGAATCTCTGTAAATCCCATTTATGGCTCAGTGATCTGGGATGGTTCCCAGCAGGTGGGAAGAGCACCTAAGAGACCCATTGCTGACTTAGTTGGCTCATAATGAAAAACTGGGTATGGTCTTCATCTTGGACATTACTGTCTCCCAACTCCCCACTCAGCTGCCAGGTGACTTGCACAGCTGATTAGAACAGCTGAACAGGCTGTAACTATCCCAGTGTGTTTTAGGGGACACCCCAGCACCCTCACAGCCCTCTGCAAGCTTCAGTGATTTCTTCCTAAGACAGGATTGCTCAGAAGTTCGGTGACATAAAGTGCTTATTAGCTAAGTAGTTAATAAGGTCTCATTAGACACTGGGGTGTCTCGTCTCAGAAAGTACAGGCTGCATCTCGGCTCCATCAGGAGGCAGGTACTGCCCGGGGGGGTTGTGGCACCCCTCAGCTCCTTTCTGGGAGAGTGATATGGAGCCAGTTCACATCATAGGAGGCTGGGAAGGCAGTGCCTGGGGGAAGCTAGTCTCCTTCCCCTCTTTATTTTCAAGCAAGCCTTGTGTTCTACAGCCTCAATATGAGGGGCAGAGTTGGGGCCCCACCAGGGGATGGAACACCAGACAAGCAATGGCTCACTGTCCTGAACCAATACACCTGAACCTTCCCAGAAGGAGGAGCCAGGTTCCTAAAAGTAGGAAGAGGTTGTGTCAAAGCAGAATTCTAATCTTTCCCAGCTACACCAGGCAGGGGCAGAGCTAGGGTGCCTGGCCTGGCAGCTGCTGCTCACAAGTCAAGACACAGAGGCTTTGCACAGGCTGAGGCCGCCCCAACGTACACTAGAGAGATCAGGACCCCTTACCCCAGCAGCCTTGAGAACCCGCCTCATATGGAGTGACTACCAAACACTGCTCAATGGGACAGCTTCTAGACTAGCCAAAGGTGTGAGGGTCTCTGTGGCCTTCTCTGCTGCCTGCTCAGCTTCCTTTCTCTTCACCCCCATGATATCTGCTTTGTCTGGGATCTGAAGAGTCAGCCTGGGATGCTGGAGTAGCTCTGCTCCAGGAGCTGGGGCCCATGCTTGGTTGCAGTTCCCTAGATCTGCTTTGTTCTCAAGCCTGGCTCTTAACCACATTGGACGTGGCTCCCAGGAGCAGTCTTGGATTTGGCTGGAAGGCATTGTTTTATCACATAAGACTCGGTGTTACTTGAGGCAACTTGTACCAGAGTCCTGGCAGTCTAAATGGCTTGCTAGTTCTGTCAGGCCATGCCTCTCAAAGGTTGAATTTGGAAGGCAGCAAGGCCTTGGAGCCTCCTTTAAGAGTCTGGGGATCACAAACAGTCCTTCTGGCCTCTTGGGCTGTGCATTATTCACCTCCTGTCAGAGCAGACAAAGCCTTCCCAGTGTGATCTGTCAGAGCTGCTGGGGAGGAAGGGGCTTGGAGGAGCTTGGCTGGACCTGGATGTGTGATTATTCCATCCCCTATTTGAGCTGTTCAGTGATGCTGCTCTGTAGCCATCCCTCCAGGGCTGTCTTCTGGCTGCTGTGCTGAGCAGGTCATGGGGCAGGACTAAGACCTAGCTTCTCTCTAGATGGGTTCCAAGGCATGCAACAAGCTCCTAGACTTCGTTCACTCATTTAGGAAAATGCAGATCTTTGTATCTTAGAAAACAAACCGCAGACACGTTAAGTACAAACTTCCTTCCCCACCGCCTGGCTGTAATTCCACTGTCTGTGATTTTGTTGTTGGTTTGGGGGTTTGTTTATTTGTTTGTTTGTTTGTTTTTCTGAGTTGGGGGCAGGATCTCATTCTATAGTTCAGGCTGATCTAGATCTCACTATGTCACTCAAGCTGGACTCAAATCCACAACAATCCTCGTGCTTCAGATTGCTGAGTTTTGGAATTCTAGGCATGTGTCACTGGCTCTGGCTCTGTGATTGAACAATGCTACGTAGCTCACAGGAGTAGAAATGTGCACTTTTTCCTCTTGCTACCACCAGTTTGGGGGCTCTTGCCTTCGGTCCATTTCTGTAACTCTGGGGCCCACTCCTGGTGGTCTAATTTACCTCTGGAAACTCTGGGGTTCTGCTTTCCTGTGGGCTGGAACCCTCTTGCTTGCCCTGTGCTCCTGCTGGGTGCTAACTGCTTTTCCTTTGTCTGTTTCCTTACCTCTGCTCTCGGCTAGCTCACAGTAGGGAAAGTGTCCAGCGGAATAGGGGCTGCAGCTGAAGTTCTGGTCAATCTGTACTTGAATGATCACAGACCTAAGACACAGGCCACCTCTCCAGACCTGGTAAGGAAATGCACTGTCAGCCTCCACCTGAAGATATTTGTCCAGCCTCACCAGACAAGAGAATGGGAGGATCCAAAGGAACCCCTTTCTCCGGGAACAAGGGGTGCTGAAAGTAGACCGGATCCAGCAGAGGCTGAGGGAAGCTACATTTCCTCAAAGACTGACTTCACTTGGGTCCTTGTGGTTCATTTTCCAGCAAAGACATGCTCCTTGCTATCTGTGGCTTTCAGGATCTATTCGGTATCAGGCCTGCAGGGCTGTTGGACAAGTCCCCCACCTTCAGCATTTAGTGTCCAGCCTAAGTAGACCTGGGAACTGAGACATGCGTGGCAGGGCGAGCACACCTCCCCTCTGGCTCTCTCCCTCCTCGCTCTAAGTGGCATGTTGCCATCAGCAACACTGCCCCGATTGTTGATCTGCTCTCCTTTGGGCTCACTGATCTGGAATTGCCCAGCACCAGCCTGCTCCAGCCCTTCCCTTCCCCATTGCAAGTGTGGAGGGAACTGTAAGGCCCAAGCTTCCTTTTTCGGCACTCTCTTGAAGAGATCGGAGGTCACACCCAGTCCTCACTTGATCCCTATACTGCAGGGGGCAACGGCATATATCACGCCCTCTCTTGGTTTCTTTTCCTGTTGCTGTGTTGGACTACTCTGACAAACATAACCTCAGGGGAGAGAGTTTATTTAGCTCACAGTTCAAGGCACAGTCCTTCCTGGCAGGAAGTCAAGCAGGAACTTGAAGCAGGTGGACACATTGCATCCACAGTCAGGAAGCAGAGAGGGGTAATTGGAGGCTTACTGCTGCTGTCTATGCAGTCCAAACTCCTAGCTGGAGAATGGCACCACTCACAGTGCATGGACCTTCCCACCTCCATTAACTAATCAAGGTAATCCACCACAGGTATACCCAGAGCCTCATCTCCCAGGTGAGACTAGAGTCCGTCAAGTTGACAAGTAGCGTTGATCATCACACATCGTCACCCAGTGACAAGATACCTCTAGGAAGGACCACAGGAAACCAACACTAGGTAGACATATTCAAGCTAGATGCCCACTCATTTAGATCAGCCTGGAGGAGAGCCCCTGCAAGGGTGAAGGCTGTGTGGGGAGTCTGTCTTCCTGCCCCATGCTATGTCTGCAGTGACATAAGCAGCAGCCAGGAGCCCTGAAGATGCTGGGGTTTGATTAAGAACTTCAACATCCATAGGCCTGGCCTTTAAAGATGTATTCACCTAGCACATTGCTCTTTTCTCCTGGCCCTAGGAATCCGTGAAAAGGACATTTCCCCTGAGCCTGGGCGGCAGTGACACCTGCTACTTTTGTAAGAAGCGTGTGTACGTGATGGAGCGGCTGAGTGCTGAGGGTCACTTTTTCCACCGCGAGTGCTTCCGCTGCAGCGTCTGCACCACCACCCTGCGCCTGGCCGCCTATGCCTTTGACTGCGATGAAGGTAACCCTGGTGGGCAAGAGAACACTGGCCTCTGGCCTCTGTCTCAGATGTGACCTTGCTCTGGGATTCCAACCCTCTGGAGGCTGGAGGGCCCCCAACACTTACCACCAAGGGAGTACGATATCATCAGGAATGCCACTTAGGGAAACTGAAAGATCCTGCTGTAGAGAGCAGAAGCCGTTGGCACCAACAGTGCACAGAACACAATGACACCTGCTGTCTGCTCAGGGCCCTCACTTGTCTCACTCAGCCCACCGCTTCCCATGGTACCCCTGAGGCCAAGATAACCAAACCCGATGAACTGTGGGACATGCCCAGAACTGTTCCAGTTATACCTGGCCTGTAGGAAGAGCTTAATGAGTGATGGCGTACTAATACAGTACGTGGGGCTGGGGAGACTGCTCAGGAAGTTAAGTCCTGTCTGGCAACCATGAGGACTTGAGTCCTGAACCCGTGTTTTGTTTTGTTTTGTTTAAATGGGACTAGATGTCCTGGTGCATATCTATAGTTCTGGCACTGGAAAGGCAAAGTCAGGTTGGTCTCTGGAGTTTGAGGCCAGCCTGAGATACATAGTGAGATTCTGTCTCAAAATAAATAAATAGAAAAGAAGGAAAAGGAGAAGCAGTGTGTGCTGATGCATGTTCTTAACCCTAGCCCTGGAGAGACCACACAGGTGGATCCTTAGGGCTCTCTGGCTGGCCAGCCTAGGCTACTTGGTATGTTCTAGGCCAGTGAGCGACCCTGTCTCAAAACAAAAGCAGAAAGCCAAGGTAAAGTTTCCTGAAGAACTATAGCTGAGCTTGTGCTCTGACCCCCATACACAACTACTCCCCATACACATACCTGTATAAACACACACAAAGTATGAATCATAAAACTGGCCTCAATATTAGGGCCTCTGTGGGTAAGTGGCTGACCAGAGCTCATCAGCCAAGAATTACATTCACTATATGAAGAGATCACTTTCCATTGGTCAGCCTTTGATATTACACTGTCATACTGAATGTGGGACAGAATGACACGGTGCTTATGACTATGTGCCTTCAAGCTGTCCTACCTGGGGTGAACCCAGGCAGTAGCACCTACTTACCAAATAACCTTGGGGCTGCTACTTAAATTCTTGGTTCCTCAGTTTCCTCATCTGCAAAATGAAATGATAGGACCTGTGTGGATGCTGCACACCAATGATCCCAGCACTCTAGAGGCAGAGTCAGGGAGATCCTGAGTTCCAGACCAGCCTGGGCTACGTATAGTGCAGCAAGAATCTTAAAAGTTCTTATTAATAAAAACAAACCCAAGAACCAGGTATTGGGGTGAATGCTGGAAGATCAGAGTAATAGAACACAAACCACAGCTGACCTCACCTCGGCAACTTCTCAGATGATCCTGTTTCCTCAGACTGGATGGCTCTCAGCTGAACTCTGCTGCTCAAAAGCCTAAAAGCTTAACCAGCCTAGTTCCTGGTTTTCACGCCTTATATACCTTTCTGCTTTCTGCCATTACTTCCTGGGATTAAAGGCTCACTTCCTGGGATTAAAGGCATGAGTCACTATGCCTGGCTGTTTCCAGTGTGGCTTTAAACTCTCAGAGATCTGGATGGATCTCTGCCTTAGGAATGCTAGGATTAAAGGCATGTGTGCCACCATTTTCTGGCCTCTGTATCTAGTGGCTGTTCTGTTCTCTGACCCCAGATAAGTTTATTAGGGTACACAATATTTTGGGGAACACAATATCACCACAGTATAGAGACTCTGCCTCGGAAGAATAAAACAAAGAAATAATAGGTCTTAGTTCATGAGGATGTGGGGGTTGATGAGCTAAGTTCTATGAAGTATTTATTAGGTTTTCCCATCATCATCATCATCATCATCATCATCTTCATCATCATCACTATTATCACCATCACTATTGTTACCATAGAAGCAGACAGCAATGCTGTCCTAGAGGGTACCCAGTGGTCCCGGGCAGTGGTTGTTTTACCCAGCACGTACCCTGCCAAGTCTTTTCTCTCATCACTGGCCAACTGTACTGACCCTCAAGATTCCAGAAAAGACTGAGGAGCTGGTACACGGAGCTACCTATTTTTCTCCCTGACAACTGGCCGTGTGAAGAAATCTAACTTCTGTTTGGGTTGGGAGTCACCTGAGGGTTTTTAGCTCCACTCAGGGAGTCTCCCATTACCAGCACCTTCTCTGAGGCAGGCAGCAGAGTGTAGCTGCCTTTTCTTGGTGCCACATTAGGGCAGGTGTATAAGCCCCTGCTCATGTCTGAGCTGGGCTTATTTCCATGGTTGCTGTGTTCTGCTTGGACAGGGATGAGCATTTGTTCCCATGGTTCTGTCTGCAGAGAAAAACTATATGTGTGCGTGTATCTCTTCTCACAGGCAAATTTTACTGCAAGCCCCATTTCATCCATTGTAAAACCAACAGCAAACAGCGGAAGAGACGGGCAGAGCTGAAGCAGCAAAGAGAGGTATGTTGGTCTCAACATGCTGGGAGAGCAGGGGCGGTCCCTCCCCCTTGAGGAGGTCCCTAGAGGCATCCTCAAAGTGAGACAGACTTCTCTAGCCCTGAAGGGGCAGAGACTGCTCCCAAATAAATAAGAGTCCCTTCTAGAGTGTTCTTTTGTCTTGGTCTGTTCAGCAGCCTCTGGGGCTGGCCCTGCTTCAGACACCAGCTCCCTGATACGTGGCTAGCTTCTTCTGAGACATCACGAAATGTTTGCACATGTGTCAAGACTAGGCTGTATGCTGAACTGTGCAAAAGCCATGTGGTCCCTCTGTGCCCAGGAGCCACGGGGCACTGCTTGCAGGAGGAAGGCCAGGTCCCTTCCTAGGCTTTTAAAGCAGCCACTGAATGTATCCCTGATTTGTGGTAGCGCCCCCCTCTGGCAGCTCTCGGGAAAGAGCTCCTCTCCAGTTTGATGAATCACCTAGCACCAATTGAAACCGGCAACTTGAACTTTCCTAAAGGTACAGTCATAGGCTCACTGTAAGAAAATGAGAGAGTAAACAGAAGTAGAGCACTAAAATCACCCATGACCACTCACCTTGGGAAAGCTCCGGTTGACATTATGGCAATCGTTTGAGACTACTGACACTTGGAAGAGTTGACATTGTGTTCCATCACCTCTCCTTCCAGATGTGTCCCTGTGTGAGTAGGTCACACCTCTATGGCTTTCTCAGCTTTATCTCCACTGACAGTATATCAAGAACAGTTTTCTGTGATACTGAAAATTCTTTTTAAAAATTTTCCTCATTTTATTCTATGTGCATGGGTGGTTTTTGTTTGTTTGTTTTGTTTTTTTTTTTTTTTTTTTTTTCTATATATATGTCTGTGTACCACATTTGTGCCCTGTACCCATGGAGGCCCAGGGACTGGAGTCACAGATGGTTGTGAACCACCATGTGGGTGTTGGGAATCAAACCCAGGTCTTCTAGAAGAGCAGCCAATGCTTTTAAACCATGGAGCCATTTCTCCAGCCCCTATATAATCTCAGCACTTGGGAGGTTGAAGCAGGAAGGTTTGAATTTGAGGCCAGTCCAGTCTACGTATGAAGTTCAAGGCCTGTCTGAGCAACTTAGCCACACTCTAACTCAACAAAAGTGGGGAGGGATAGGAGAAGAGGGGAGGCCGGGCAGAGCTGACAGTTAAAAGTAAAACGGTTTTTGTTTTTGTTTTTGTTTTTAAATGGGATAGGATCTCATTGTGTAAATTTGACTGGCCTGGAACTCAATAGCTAGCCCAGGCTGGCCTCAAAGTCACAGAGATCTACCTGCCTCTGCCTCCTGAATGCTGTGATTAAAAGTGTGCACCGCCACACCTTGCTTAGGAGTATAATTTCTAATGCTATTAAAAGATTGTATTTTATGCATGGTCAGTAATCTGCTCCAGTAGTTCCTTCCATCCTGTTGGGCTTTTACACCATTTAATACTTTTATCTTGCAAAGATTTTTTACAATGAATATATTTGCATACAAATCTTAATCCCTATTTCTAATTATTCCTGTGCTATATAACAATACAAGTAGGTATGCAAGGTCGAAGGGCATGCATATTTTGAAGGCTAGTGAATGGTATGGTAAATTTGCCCCTTTAAACAAGTTGTGTCCACATTCCACACCAGTATGGGAGCTGCTCCAGTTCGAGTTGTCCTGGCTCAGTCTGCTCTATTGGAGGCAGCCTCTGAGACTCTTGGACTAAGTGCTCTTGCTTTGCTGTCTTTCTCAGGAGGAAGGCACTTGGCAGGAACGGGAAGCACCTCGGAGAGACACCCCCACGGAAAGCTCTTGCGCAGTGGCGGCCATCAGCACGCCAGAAGGCAGCCCCCCAGGTATCTCCACCTCCTTCTTTAGGAAGGCACTGAGCTGGCCTTTCAGGCTGACAAGAGGCCTGCTCGACCTGCCCCGGAGCCTGCTTAGGTGGATGCAGGGACTCCTGAATGCTGCTGGCCACCATGTCAGGGACAATGCTTACAACTACTGCTTCACGTTTGAGCTCCTGTGCCTGGGGCTGCTGCTTCTCTGGGCCTTCTCCGAGGTCCTGGGTGCCATGTACAGGGAGTCTGAGGAATCCCTGGCGAGCATCCGCAGCTGGTTTCTCAGGTTCATCCCAGTGAAGCTGCAGTGAGGTAAATGCTGCCCCACAGTGCCCTAACATTTCCAAGTGTAGACTGCGACATTTGTAGTTTGCGCAGGCTCTGGCCAGCATCTGTAACCAATTAGCTCCAAGCCAAAGAGTCCCACGTTGGCCGCCTCCACCTGGCTTTGACAGGGTCGAGCATCTATTCATGGTGCTAGGGCCAGGGACAACATGAAGGATTTTTTTTTTTAACAGCTTTGTATTGTTTTGTCTTTTCATACCAAAGCGAGCCATATTTCTGGGTTTACATTTCAATTTTTAACTTTTCATAAGCCAAAAAGAAAGCATTATTTTTCTACAAGTATCAATACTTCTAACCGTTTTAACTTTTATCACCAGTTTTACAAGGCCCTCCAACTTGGCAATGTGTTGAGATTTATTGTTGCCAGCAGAGTTAATGAGCTGAGACTTTAGAGCCACAAAACAGAGAGAGCCATCACCAGACCAATGCCTTTCGGTTTTGCAAAAAGATGTCACCTGTTCACAGTGGGTGCTGCGTTTGTTTGTTTGTTTTCAAGAACACATATATGTACAATCAGTGAGGTTAAAAGGAAGAAGTAGAGGGGTAGAATAAACCAAAATGAACCGAAGCACACAGCAGTGTGTCAGTGCTCTGTCCCTGGGGTTGGGGAGAGGTATTTTACCCCTATCTTTTGAAGTCAAGAAGCCTGAAGGCTTTCCCTCATGCCCACCAATCACAGCCAATGGTATATAGCACCACAGGGCTACTGCACTGCGAGCATCCATCCCCACCCCCACTCCACTAATGGGTACTGCAGTGAAGCCCGTTGGCACTTAGACCTGAATAGCTCTGTCAGGCTGAGGTAATGCTGAGGACAAACTATTTCAGATGGTGTCTGTTTCACCCCTATCTACTCCCCAACCCAGGCTGCAGACAGAGCCAAAGCCGCTCAGGTCCATCATGGTCAGGCTGTCTCTCCCTGGTGTCCTTTGAACCTGAGGATACTTGCTGGCCCCGATCAGTGAGCCTTGCTGGTGGTCTCCTGGCTGCTCAGTCACATGGCTGCCTTGCATATTTTACCCACACAGTCAGAGAGCCTTCTCCTAGTGCCCCAGAAAAAGAAAAGTGTCTGGTCTTGGGGTGGCTTCAAGCCCGTAAGTGTTTTCTACTCTGGATGTCTGGAAAAGCCTGCAGATATCCTCACCCAACTCTGATGCTCAGCTTGTGCAGCATGATGAGCAACTGGAGGGCTGCTGAGGGCCTTCTAGGTACTCAGGGGATCTGCCGTCACTGGGTACCGTACAGCTATGGAGAGCTGTGACCACTAGAGCACCCTCCAAGATAAAGGTCTGCTTAAAGACAGGCCGGCTTGAAAGCTTTGACATAAGTTTCTGTAAGGGGAAAGAGGGGCGCATTTCTAGAGACTCTGTCCTGAAGCCATGGGAAAGACAGGGCATGGCTGGGTTCAAGTCTGTGGGGACCAGCACCCCTGACCTTGTTGGATCTGTTGCCAGTGTGATGACGTACATTGTATTTGCCCCGCTTGTAGCTGGGGTTTTAATGGTCAAGCATGGTGGGAGAAGCCCTTGAGTCCTATTATGTTTCATTATGCCCCATGAACTCTTGAGGTCAGATTATAGTGATTTTCTCCAGCTCAGGGTGGGCTGAGATGCTCTGTGGAATGCTCTGGGAAGCCAGAGTGAACTCTCTAAAAAAAATGTCATTTATAGCCACAAGGAAGCTGGTTTGAATTACTCTGGTAGACAGGGTGTGTCTGTCACAAGGCCCAGACATCTATATGTTTTGAGACCTTGAACCTTCCTGGTGGGCAACAGCAGGGGCAGGTCCTGGGAGACACATACTCCAGAAACAAATTTGCCTCAAGGATGAGGATGAAACCCCAGAGTACCATGGAGGGGCTGGGGGTTAGCGGGGCCAAAGGTCCTGGGAACATTTGTGGACAAGAGCGGGGTTTTGTGGATGTGCAGACCCCGCGCATCCACTCTTGGAAATGAATGGCTGGCCGCCACCAGGAAGGTCTGTGTCTCCTAAGCAAGCAGGCATTTGTGGGGGACAGTGGTTGCTCTCTTGTCACCTCCAGGGCCTTTTCCTCTTGTGATGTTGTTCTGCTCCCTCGCTAAAACCTCCTTTCTGTCTTTCTCTTCCCAACCTCACACTGTGGCCGCCAGTGCGTTTCAGCCTTCCCGTCCTACACCCACTTCTTGGCTGACACTCCTGCTCTAAGGTGACTCATTTTCTTGGCAATTTTCGGAGAGAGGTACTAACCCCTAACCCGCTTTCCGCACCCCATCCTCTGCGTCGATGGTACTGGGTAGCACTAACTGTGTCTTGCACTCTAACAGACTCCCTAAGGAATGAGTGGTTAACAGCATGGGGTGGGGGTCAGCTTGAAAGCTGTGTTCTGCCTTCCCTTCTTTGGAGCCCAGCCAGCAGCCTGGGTCCACAACAAGTGCATGCCCCCCCTTGCCTCGCTGGCCTCTATGCATGCTTTCTCTGCTGCACCTTCAAAGGCTCTTGTCTTCTTGGGAGGGTCCGCCATGATTGTGAGACAATACCGTATAAGGAGGGCTCTGTGGCCTTTGAAAACATTTCTGTTTAGTGACCTTTTGAAAAGAACCTGTCTAGGAATATCTTCTTCAGCCAGTTCTAATCCAAAGATTACCAATGCCTTTGATTGGAACCATAAGTGACTCAGTGTGGCGAGGTTTTAAAAGTGGGCTTGTTCCCAGACTCTGTGACCAGTTTGACCCATGCTTTGTGCTGTGACTACAATGAGGCTAGCAAGCCCTTCCTCTGTTTCAGCAGAGTTAATCCTAGGGCCTTGCCATGCCTTTCATATGCCTCTGGGCTCTTACGTCCATACTGGTTCAGAAGCTTTAATCAGAGCAGTCACGGTCGCAGGACAAGCGCTGGCTTTCAGAAATAACCCAGGTCAGCCATTGTCAATGGTCCTGTCAATCTATCTAAAGCCCACAGTCCCTCTGCTCACCTACCTGGACCAGTGGGATGGTCATGTGCTACTACAAAAAGTGGTCGCATGGAGGGCAGAGAGCAGTGTGAGTCTAGCCCCACCCACATCCTCAGACGGTGGTCAGAGTCCGTCTGCCTGTAGCTAGAGCTACCCTGCCCTCGGCTTCTGCCCAGCCCTGCATGCTGCACTTGCCTGCTGCACTGGCGCAGAGCCCAGCCAATACAAAGCCCTCTCCTCTCCTCTCTTCTCTTCCAGCATTCCCCCTCTAAAATGTCAACCAAAGAGAGCCCCCCTTGCTCTCAGCCTCTTTAGCTAGCCTTCCCCCCCCCCCCCCCCATCTCATGGCAAGGCATGTCTGTGACCCTAGAGAATTCATTTACAGTGCCATATGGAACCCTGTATTTTACACACAGCAAAATGATGTCTAGGTTTATTTATGATATTTGATGCTGTAAATGAAAATAAATATGGTTCTTTATAAAGCTCATCGTTTCCTCTCTTCTTTGCCGTGGAAGCTTCTAAATCTCAAACACAGGCACCGGTTTAGGGGAGCCATCCTCTCCTAAACTGCTGGCGGGGCTTGCACTTGTTGTGGTGGTGACCCGGGACTCTCTGGGGCTGTGCCAGGGCAATCGGAAATATTACCCCAGGGTAATATTTGGAAAAATGTCACCAATACTCCGGTGCCAGGCTTTGGGGTCTCTTCCTTAAAATGTGTGGTACTTTGCTGTTCTAGATGCTGGGCAGAGGAGGAATAGGGCCAGTGTGACCTCAACGTTTAGGAACAGGCTGTGTTGACAGCCGTCTGAACCCAGTTCCCTGGCACCTGCAGGCCATGGCTCTGTAGGAGGGCTTCACCAAAAGTCCCACCTGTTTGCTTCTTACAGAGAACAAAATGAGTCTTTTCATGGTGTGCACTGGTCCGCCCAAGTGATGGGCGAAAGGTAAGGGGAAAGGGGTGGGTGTCAGTCTCTGGAGGGCAGTGAACCAGCAGGTATGACTATCAGCACCCTGTGCTATGGGGTTCTGCCCACCTGGCCACTCGGAGCACAGTGCCCAGCAGGCTCTGCCCAACTCCACTCTGTGTGTGGGAAGGACTTGGAGTCTCCCTTGACTATTCTGGACAGTGCTAGATCTCCCCAGGGAGGAATGTCTGCCATTGCCAGACTGGATATGGTTGGGCTTCTAATACTAGCTTAAGAAGCCTCCTGAGGACTATGAGGGCCCTGGCATCTCCCAGAGAGGATTTCTGGGATTCCAATCTCCAACTCAGTTGCTGGTGCTTGTATCTGCCTTCAGAGCCACCTCAGGTTGTGACCTGGGGTCCCTATCTCCTTCACTTCTATTCAAGGAAGGCTCTTAGGGACCAAAGATCAAGTGGAGGGATAGGCAAATGACCAGTTCCTTTACCTATGCAAGTTACTGCCCGAGGCATTATTCTAGGTCCAAGAGACAGTGCAGTGGGCTCCACAGCCCTTGTGCCTCCCTGACATTTAAGAAGTGCGAGCCTTAGATTGCTGTTTGGATTCTGATTTGGCTTGTCCATGCTCCTGCTCGTTCACCCGTTTACTTCATTATACTAAGCACCTACTGTGTGCTAGGGAATACAGCTAATCTTGCCAGTCTCTCTAAGTCTTGAAGGCTCATGTTAGGTCTCTAATGGAGCCTTCTAGTGAATAAGTTTAAGTATTTGGGTTAGCTTTCTCATACCTGCTTGCAAAGTGTCTTGATTTGATTTAGTTTGACTATTATTATAACCCTACATAATTTGTATTTGGTAGAATATTCTTTAATCCAAAAACATTGGAGACTTAACTTTTTGTGGTTGGGAGATCAAATCCAAGACTTTGTATAGGTAGGCAAGCACTCTACCAATCCTAACACTTAACACTTTAAAGTAGTCTAATAGAATTAAATATTAAGTAGAGGGACTGGAGAGATGGCTCAGTGATTAAGAGCACTAGCTACTCTTCCAAAAGTCCTGAGTTCAATTCCCAGCTACCACATGGTGGCTCACAACCATCTATAATGCCATCTGATGCCCTCTTCTGGCACGCAGGCGTACATGCAGAAAAGAGCACTCAAAAAAAAAAAAAAAAAAAAAAAACCTTAAAAAATATTAAATAAAAGTTCCAAACACAAGTCAGACAAGGTGGCTATGCCCTCAATGCCTGCACTAGGGAGGTGGAGACAGAAGGGTCAATAGTTCAAGGTCACCCTCAGCTACATAGCAAATTCAAGAAAAACTTGGCTACATGAAACCCTATCTCAAGAAAATACCCCACCCCACCCCCCAAAAAGAAGTTCCTATTGGAAAAAATTTGTGTTATATGTAATATACTAATACACACACATATACACACACATATATATGTATTAAATACAATTAAATATTTGTTAGATCAAAAGGGATAAGTCTCTGAGTTTTAGAACTACTGACAAAAACTAATTCATGTGGGGATTTGGCCATGTACACTTTAAATATTTTTAAATTGTGTGTGTGTGTGTGTGTGTGTGTGTGTGTGTGTGAGAGAGAGAGAGAGAGAGAGAGACAGAGAGAGACAGAGAGAGACAGAGACAGAGAGACAGAGAGAGAGAGAGAGGGGGAGAGAGAGGGAGAGAGAATGAGAATGTGGGTTTGTACACATAAGTAGACCCTTGGGTGCCAAAAGAGGGGATTGGATCACCTGGAGTTGAAACTAAAAGTGGTTATGAGATATCAGATGTGGGTGCTGAGAACCATACTCAGGTCCTCTGGAGGAGAAATGGGTGCTATTAACCACTGAGCTACCTCTCCAGCCCCAACTATCTGCATTTTAAAACCAGCATGAAAGCCAGGCATGGTGGCACATGCCCTTAATCCCAGCACTCAGGAGGAAGAGGCAGGCAGATGTCTGTGAGTCTAGGCCAGTCTGGTCTATACAGTGAGTTCCAGGACAGCAAAGGATATGTAGAGACCCTGTTTGAAAACCCCAAAAATATGCTGGGCGGTGGTGGCGCACGCCTTTAATCCCAACACTCGGGAGGCAGAGCCAGGCGGATCTCTGTGAGTTCGAGGCCAGCCTGGGCTACCAAGTGAGTCCCAGGAAAGGTGCAAAGCTACACAGAGAAACCCTGTCTCGAAAAATCAAAAAAAGAAAGAAAAGAAAAATCCAAAAAAAGAAAGAAAAGAAAACCCCAAAAATAAATAAATAAACAAATCATGTTATTGTAAAAATTTAAATATTAACTATGCAGTCAGACTGGAAAAAAAATTGAATTAAATATAATAACATGAAAGTTCACGGCCATGGTATTTAAAGAGTCCACTTAAAGCAGGCGTTCCTGGGTGTCTCCCACAGTAACACTCACAAAGTTAATCTTTACTGAGCAATGACCCAAGGATAAGTAAGGAAAGGCTGTGAACAAATAGTTCCCACCTATGCAAATTCAAGAAGTAAACACTGGAAAAGAAAAAGGAAGCATTTTGGGGAACTGTCCTCTCCTGGCTTTCAAAGGAAAGCAAGTGAATCCTGTTATCCACCTAGTCAGCAGGGGAGACAGAGAAGTAGTGATGGTGAGGAAATATAGGAGTTTAGGACTGGCAGCAGGGACAGTCTGTCTCCTGAAAGGCAATAGAGCAACCAAGATTAAGTCTCAGAAAAGGGCCTTGACCTTTGGCCCAGTAAGAAAGAAATCTCCGTGTACATTGAATAGTGAGTGCCGCGTCCAGAGTGGGTGGGCTGTTCCTCGTTCCTCTGGACTGTTCTTCTTGTGATTTAATACCCCACCACCCACCACTACCCCAAAAAACTTTAGTCAAAGAGTGTCTGCCTCCGTTACTGCCCTGGGGCATCTGCTACTTGCCCAGCACTTTCTCTGTGGCCATCTCTGGGCCAAGCTCTTCAGGTCCAGCCCCTTATTAGTGCTGGCTCCTTGTAGCGCCATGAAGTCCGTGCAGATAGGAAAGAGGATCGTAGGAAAGACCATTGGTGCCAGGCAGGCGAGTTCCAGTGACATCATCCTCCACTGTGAATGAGCAGAGAGCACTGGGGCCCACACTAGGTATCGGGGCTTTGACCCCTGAAACTTTGTTCTCACCGTGTCCCAGGTGAGCCCCCTCTGTACCGGGAGCTAACGGAGCCTCTGGCATTAGGTTTTGGGAAGGTGGAATCAACAGCCAACCCAGGACAGGGCCTGGGACTCTGCAGTCGGGCATTCTACTGAGCTCTGGATGGCACCTCCCTGGAGGGATTGCTTCTGGGAAAGCTTCTTTCTGACATTGTAGATGAGCTGAGGCTCCACCACCACGAGGTAGGCGGACACTGGACAGAGGCCCTAGAGCATGCTGGGAGGTACCATCTTTCCTCTCTTATACTCTTACCCCCAGCCTCTTGAAGGCAACCAGCTACTTCCCCTCAGACACAGGGCTTAGCTCGAGAGTCCCACCTCCTGTCACCTGTCAAAGGCTTTGTGTGAGGAGTGTTCGAGCCTCAGCTAAGAGGAAACAGATTCTGGATGTGTTGCTGCCTCCCCACCCCACCCCGTCCCACCTCTCCCCTCCCCACCCCGTCCCACCTCTCCCCACCCCACCCCCACATCGACCTGGACATCTTTTAGGCAACTCTAGCTCAGATCCTTCTCCAACACCAATTTTTTTTTTCACCAGTCTCCACTGTTAACCATCTCCCTTACAGCAAAGAACAGTGCCTGCCTGTTTATCTCAAAAGCCGTGGAGCCATGCTTGAGTCTGCTTTGTTCTGGACCCACACCTCGCTCAGCTAGAATCTGTCCTGAGGGCCAGGAAAGTATATTTAGGCTGGGAAGGTCTTGCTGGTGTCCAGCCATAGTTCATGACAGAGCCCTAAAGGAGCAGAAGGCACACATTGTGCATCATGCCATCCCTACACAATGCCTCCACTCATCCCCTCCTTGCCTTCCAAGGGCTGTCATCCTCAGATGCATCCTGTGACAAAGCAGATTTGAGTGCCCCCTCCCCCAGCCCCAAAGGGATGCACCTGAAGTGATAGCCGTTCCTATGGTAACTTTGACACCAAAGTCTTGTTAATGTGTCACAAGTCCACCAGGCCATGTGCATCCTCTCTCCTGTCCTCACTGTCTCCAACACAGGAATCCAGGTGAAATGGAGACAATAAGTAGAGTAAGCAATGTTCTACTCTTAGAATCTGGGCTCTGGGTGGGCCAAAGGCACTGATTGCTGTCTTTGATCCACTGAGCCCACGTGTGGCTACAGCAAGGGGCCCACCTAGATAGAGTGACCAGCCTCTCAACTATGTGGGAGCCCGGAAATGCTGTCAGATCTGTATCATCAACCAACACCAGGCCTAGCCAGGTGCAGACCCCATCTGGCCCTATGGCAAAGCCTACCACACCCTCTATCCCAAGGGTGCTAGAAATCGTTGCCTAGCACTAGCCTGAGAAGGATGATAAGACACACGCCCCAAGGCTGCCTCTCTTCCTGCCTTCCTAGATTACTGCAGGA